TAGGAGGTGGATTTACACCCTCCACAAGGCCCAGCGAATCAAAGGTTTGGCCTAATAAGATTCGCTCTATAGGCTCGGCTAGCGTCTAAAGCAGTCAGAGAGGGTCACATCTGCCTTGAGCCGACGAAGCCGAGTCCAAGTTGACTGAAAGGACGACGACAAACGACTAGCGCATCAGCGGCTCAATCAACGGCCTACTAACTTGGCCTTATCCATGAGACCCATTAGGATGGACTGGCTTAGGGCATCCGCACGGGTCAGCTATATAAGGAGGAGAGAGAAATCAGGAAAGGGACATCAGAACAGACATACACATACTTGACGGCTAGAACTTGGGTTTTACTTCCTTTCTATTCACGCTTAGTTGTACCTTCCCGTCTAGCATTCCGAGCACCGGCTTGTTTCCACCGCTTATTTCTCTACTTGTAATCAACAAACCTCTTTCATCATCTAATAAATGTCTCTGAAATAACCCACATACGAGTTTCGTCTCTCTGACTAGTTTCCGACCGAACTCGGTTCAAACATGGAGTTTACCTAAAGCTGCGACATCATTAAGCTCTGGACTGCAGACAAAAATCATCAAGGTGTTAAAGCTGAGAACTTTAGTTTATTTGGTTCAGCTTGGTTTGCATGGGTTTATTAACATATACATGGAATCCCTTCTCAGGAACTGAGTCATGAATAATGCTGGACCAGATGCGAATTCCGATTTATGTACGGTTCATGCGGAATTGTGCAAGAAAAACATCGGCACAGTGACAGTTAATTTTCAAATCAGTTACTAGGAAGCCACAAAGAAGAGCAATACTATGGTCTTGATGGTATGCAGCTCAGAAGTATTCTATGTCCTTATACACTTTATTTGCGAGTTTTGTTTTGAGCAAGGACATCTATCCAATTTGTATTTAATTGAGAACTAAGAAAGCGTGTTATGAAATAAAAACTTGTGTGCTATATTATATTGACTAAAATTCTGAATAAAATTCTCTTTACTAAATAAAAATAAAAATATCATTAAATATAAAGTTAATATTAGATAGTATTCTAAACTTTGGAAATGAACCTAGAGGGTTAAATACAAATAGAAAAAAATAACTATAACAAACTAAAACTATATTAGAAATCCATTTATTATTTATGATAAAATTTCAACATCTTAACTAAAATGACCGTTCCAAAAAAAAACTAAAATGACCCAAACTATATATACAATCAATCACTGATAATTTTTTAAAACTTTATAAGCTTCAAATGTAAATTTGAAAAATAAATAACACAATTTATTTTCATTGTATTTATTATGTTAATTGTGTTATTTTGTAGTTACTATAATGTAAATCTGCTTTACAGTAACACAAATTCTATGAAAAAATATCAACTCAAAATAAAAACTTAGAAATACTACAAAATTTTCAATTTAAATTGGTAACAACAATTGCTTCAAATTTAGCTATAAATAAAATATTGCACAAAAAATAGATATAAATAAAACAAATTCAAAATACGTAGTCTGCTCGAAGCGCGGAAAATAGTTCTAGTACTAATAATAACTCAACAGTGCATTTGCTTTCTTTGTAATTTTTTTATTCGTCGACAATTACAGAAGAAATATAAGAAACCTATTTAACATCATTTACAACTTTAATTTGATTTAAACCCAAAAGATTTTCTTATTTCAACATGAAAATGCATAGTTCCTATTTCTTGAACTTAGGAATAGTGCGTATTTTATATATAACTAAACAAAAATCCAAAATATTACATAAACCTTATGTGTCATCTATTTCATTCTCGAACTTTATAACAGTGCATATTCCATACAGAACTAAAAAAATAAAAAAACTCTCAAAATCTTACTTATATATATTAGGGGAAGTCTGCGCTCCGCGCGGGATTTAGTATTTTGTCAAAAAAAATTAAATTTTGTTTGTATGTGTATTGGGAAACAATTAAAATTTATACTCATTGTAAGAAAGTCATTTCTTTAATGGGAGAATTTCAATTATACCACTTTGGTGGTACCACTTTTCATGTTTACCATCAACAAAGGAACATTTTCAAAAATACACATTTTATTAAAAGATAAAAAACTCTTATATCCTTGTTTTTTATATATATATATATAAAATAAATATTAAATAAAATATTAACCCTAAACCTTAAAACATCAATTCTAAACTCTAGACCTTAAAAAGTAAATCATACACCCTAAAAATCAACCCTAAACCCTAAAATATCAATTCTAAACCTTAAACCCTAAACTCTAAACCCTAAAAAGTAAACCCTAAACCCTAAAAAATCAACATTAAACCATAAACTATCAATCCTAAACCCAAAACCCTAAACCCTAAATTCTAATAGTATTTTCACTATTAAAATTTTAATGGTAAAGTTGGTTAGTGTAAAGTTGAAAAGTGGTATCTTGAAAGTCTTATTTCTGGCAATTTCCCTTCTTTAATTAGTTAAAAAAAATGTTTTTTTGGTTAACTAATTTAGATAACTTAAAATAACAAAAATCAAGCAAACTAAAAATTTGAAGACAAAAAAATTTGGTAATACATGACTATACTTACAAAAACATCGCGTTTCATATGTTGGAGAATAATAATTTGTAAAGTTTACATAATGGATCATGTAATAAAATTGTCTCTTATCGTATTGGTTTGTACTTGTTTTAAATTGCAAGTATTTTAAGTTGCACGTGTTTTAAATTGTGATTGATCCTCTTTTGAATAATGTTTCTACTTCCGCACTGATTGTATATGTTCTTTGGGAAATTGCCAGAAATAACACTTTCATACCATTTTTCAACTTTACACTAATCAACTTTACCATTAAAATTTTAATAGGCAAAATACTATTATATCCTTAACTAATTAAACTTAACAATTTTAATAAGATTTTGATGGATTAGGGTTTAGAGTTTAGAATTTAGGGTTTAAGGTTAAGAATTTAGGGTTTAGAATTTAGGATTTAGAGTTTAGAATATAGGGTTTAGGATTTCAAATTTAGGGTTTAGGATTTCGAGTTATGGTTTAGGGTATAGGATTTAGGGTTTAGGGTTTAGAATTTAGGATTTATGGTATAGAATTTAAGATTTAGGGTTTCGAAGATACGGTTTAGGATTTAGAATTTAGGTTTTAGAGTTTCGAATTTACAGTTTAGGGTATAGAATTTAGGGTTTAGGGTTTAGAGTTTAGGGTTTAGAATTGATATTTTAGGGTTTAGTGTTGATTTATTAGGGTTCAGGATTTAGGGTTTAGAATTTAGGGTTTAGGGTTTCGAATTGATATTTTAGAGTTTAGGGTTGATTTTTAGGGTTTAGGGTTTAGAATTGATGTTTTAGGGTTTAGGGTTAATATTTTGGGGTTTAGGGTTTAGAATTGGTGTTTTAGAGTTTAGTATTGATGTTTTGTGTTTTTTATTTATTTAAATATTTGTTTCATATAATATATAAAGAAGAAGAGTACAAGAGTCTTTTATGGTAAATTGCCAGAAGTAACACTTTGAAGATACCACTTTTCAATTTTACACTAACCAACTTTACCATTAAAAGTTTAATAGTCAAAATACTATTAGAATTTAGGGTTTAGGGTTTTTGGTTTAGGACTGATAGTTTAGGGTTTAGTGTTGATTTTTTAGGGTTTAGGGTTTAGTTTTTAGGGTTTAGAGTTTAGGGTTTAAGGTTTAGAATTGATATTTTAGGGTTTAGGGTTGATTTTTAAGGTTTAGGGTTTATTTTTAGCGTCTCGAGTTTAGAATTGATGTTTTAGGGTTTAGGGTTAATATTTTATTTAATATTTATTTTATATATATATATATATAAAGTACAAAGATATAAGAGTATTTTATCCTTTAATAAAATGTGTATTTTTGAAAATGTTCATTTATTGATGGTACATGAAAAATGGTACCATCAAAGTGATATAATTGAGATTCTCACGTCTTTTATCCCTTAATGAAAAGTGTATTTTTAAAAATGTTTCTTTGTTGATGGTAAAAATGAAAAGTGGTATCACCAAAGTGGTATAAGTGAAATTCTCCCATGTTCTTTTTGGAGCTAAGCTTCCTCCTATCATTATTTTTTGTTACATTTGTTTGTCGTGAGAAAATTCAACCTCAGTATTGTTAGATTGACTAAGTTTTCTCATACAATTGTTGAAATTCTTTGACTGAGATTATGTTCTATTTTTATTATGTCATTATATTTTTTTTTTCTACAATTGTTGCAATTGTTTAAATAAGATTATGTTCTATTTTTATTATGTCTTTATATATTTTTCCAATTAGTTTGTTTTGTACTGTCATTGTATATTTTCTAATTTTTTTTTTTGTAATGTTATCTAGTTTCACTTCTTATTTTCTTTGTTTCTTGTCAATTTATTTTATAGTACATATTTGTTGGCCCTTGAAGTATACATTTTATATTTTGTATAAACTAAATGTATAGCCGTATAACTACGCTTTTTAATAGGGAGAATTTCAATTATACCGCTTTGGTGGTACCACTTTTCATATTTACCATTAACAAATGAATATTTTCAAAAATACACATTTTATTAAATGATAAAAGACTCTTATATCCTTGTTCTTTATATATATACATAAAATAAATATTTAATAAAATATTAACGCTAAACCCTAAAACATCAATTCTAAATTCTAAACCCTAAATAGTAAATCCTAAACCCTAAAAATCAACCCTAAACCATAAAATATCAATTCTAAACCTTAAATCCTAAACTCTAAACCCTAAAAAGTAAACTATAAACCCTAAAAAATCAATACTAAACCCTAAACTATTAATCCTAAACCCAAAACCCTAAATCCTAAAATTCTAATAATATTTTGAATATTAAAATTTTAATGATAAAGTTGGTTACTGTAAAATTGAAAAGTGATATTTTGAAAGTGTTATTTCTGGCAATTTCTCAAAAAAAAACGTAAAATTTTATAGTCCAACTAAAAAAGGCATTGCCTCTTGACGTTATTAATTTCTGTGATTTCTACGGCTTTCTGCGACCTCTCCGCTTTTTCCTCTGTTTCTGTGTCATTCTTCCAGCAGATCTCGAAGAGAACCCTATAGTTTCTCGATTTTTTCCGTAGGTAAAAAAATTGAAACGATCCTTTGACTCCAAAGTTTGTGTTTTGATTGTTTTTGTTTCTTTTCGCAGAGTAAAGGTTAGGTTATTTCGATGGGTTCTTCATCAGGGCAACCCGAGTTTGATTACCTGTTCAAAGTTTTGTTGATCGGAGATTCCGGTGTTGGGAAAAGCTCTTTGTTGTTGAGTTTCACGTCCAATACGTTTGATGATCTTTCTCCCACAATCGGTGAGTACTATAAAATCATGATAGAGCTTAATACCGATTGGATTTTCTGCGTTGATTTGGATCTGTTTTTTTTTAGGTGTGGATTTTAAGGTCAAATATCTTACCATTGGGGAGAAGAAACTGAAACTTGCGATTTGGGATACAGGTTAGAGAAGTTAACCATGATGTGTATTGTTAGTATCCTGGGAAGAATTTCATGCCATTATTTGAATTTCTGTTAAATTTCACACATTTTTTGGTCTCAGTTTAGATGTTCATGGAAACTTATTTGATTCGAGTTTTGGAAATTATTTTTTTAATAATCTACTTCCATGTTTTGTCATAATCATAGAATATTAGTCTTTCTCAAATAGTTTAGACTAAGTGTCCTGTTTTTAGAATTGTTACGAGATTAGTCTCTTGTGTTTTCTTTGATTTTTTTTTGTCCGCTGATCATTTTATTTCGTCTGTTTTTGGGTTGCTGATCACCCAGCTGGGCAAGAGAGATTTAGGACACTAACAAGTTCGTATTACAGAGGAGCTCAGGGCATAATAATGGGTATGTCTCTCTAAATAAAATCTGTTTATCATCTTTAATCTTCTAGGCTACACTTTGTCAAGGCTTTGTTTTTCTTTTTAAGTGACTCCTGAAATTTCTCCGTATGTAGTATATGATGTGACACGACGAGACACATTCAATAATCTATCAGATATATGGGCTAAGGAAATTGACCTCTACTCGACTAATCAGGACTGCATCAAGATGCTTGTTGGAAATAAAGTCGATAAGGTAAAGATCTCTCTTCGTTTGTTTTCCATGTCAATCGACTGGTAATGCTACAACTCTATTGACCTTAATGGCATTCAGGAGAGTGAGAGAGCTGTCTCTAAAAAGCAAGGCATAGACTTTGCTCGGGAATACGGATGTTTGTTTCTGGAGTGCAGTGCAAAGACTCGAGTCAATGTTGAGCAATGCTTTGAAGAGCTTGTTCTTAAGGTTAGTAAAATCTACTCTTTCTACACGTTTTGTTACTGATGATGAATGTTAAGTCTTCGACCTTTCTTTATCTGCAGATTTTGGAAACACCTAGTCTCATTGCTGAAGGTTCGTCTGGAGGGAAGAAGAACATATTCAAACAAAACCCAGCACAGACAAGCAGTGCTTCTTCAAGCTACTGCTGCTCGTCTTAGACATGACTTGGATATAAATCTTAACCCTGGTTTCGAACAACACTTTATTGGATATAAATCTTAACCCTGGTTTCAAAGTTGTGTTCACCAGTACTTTAAATCTGGGATCACTTAATTGTCTTCAGAAAAAATGTTCTTTTTACTTGATCATGCTGAAACAATAACTGATGTTACTAAATACTAAGTGATTCGAACAACACTTTATTTAGCTAGTTGGGATAAAATCAGTATGTCGATATCTCTTATATATTAATCGAGAAGTATTTCAACATGCTTTGGTAGTCATGTGTCATTTTGAAAATTTTTGGTCCATATAAACATATAATATATTTTTATTAAACTAAACATAAAACTATTATTAATGTTAATCATTATTTTCATAAATAAAATTTACGGAATTATCTAATATAGTTATAATATATATATATATATGAAATTTAGTGATTGGAATATCAAAGATTTGATAAAAAAATTGTATAACCTCTACTATTTTTGTTAAATTTATATTGTGAAAATAAATTAAAAATTGATATTGATTATAAAACAAAAAATAGATTTTTTTATATATGTTCTATTTTGAATTTTTTAAAACGACTTTCAATTAATAAAAAAATAAAAAAATTCACATATAATATTTTTCATTAATAGTTTAAATTTTTTGTTATAGCACGATATAAAAAATTATTTAATTAATGAGTAAGAAATATCATTTAATAGATATTTAGATGAGACGTAGATATATATATATATATATATATATATATATATATATATATATATATATATATATACATTTAGTGAAGTTTAAATTAAACTAAATACCATTTAAAAATATCTAAATATTTAATTCCAAAATTGCATTGAACAGGTAATGAGAACTTAATATTTTAATGACAAACTTTGAATTTAATGTTTTTAAACGATGATAAATTAGTGTAAATATTAAATCTCTCACAGTAAAAAAAATGTTATCAATATTGTAAATTTTTTATTATAAAAATATACAAATGATCATGAAACCATGTAAGTGTGAAGCTTCATTTATTAGATATAAAAATTAAAAATATAATCCCCTATGTATTAACCCGGGAACATTACAACATGTTTTCCTAACCACGTGTTATCACTAGAATGATTCTTAGCATCTCTAGAAAAAGAAGTTGGTCCATATAAATATATACTATACTTTTTATTAAACTAACTATTAAAATGATTAGTAGTATACAAAACAATATTTTTTTCTTTCTTTAAACAAAAGATACAAAATTACCTAATATGATTAATATATATATACAATTAATGATTATAAATAATACATATTTTTGTATCCTCTCTCTTTTTGTTTATTTTTTCATTATTAAAATAAATTAACCAATCACATTAAATATATAATAAAAAATTTTAATTTTTTCTTATATATTATATTTTGAATTTTTAAAATGACCATAAATTACTAAAAAGAGTAAAAATCTCTTATTGAAAATTTTATGATTAATGGTTTAGCTTTTTTTTCCAAGCAAGATACAAATTATCATAAATCGTACAAATACGAAATCTCATTAGTAGATATTCATATTATATATATATATATATATATATTAATATCACTTAAATTAAATTATATACTATTTAATATATTTAAATATGTTAGTTTAAAAATTCCACTGAAAATGTTTAAGATCTTTATATTTTAATTTTGAAATTTGTATCTGGAAAATCCCACATTAAAAGTTTTGTGATTAACGGTTTTAATATTTGTTACAGAAAATATACAAATGTTATTCAAATCATTTAAATCAAAAAGTCAAATAATAAATATTTATATAAAAATATACTATATATATGTATCTATGTTAATATCACTAAAGTTTAATTATATACCATATAAAATAAATAAAATGATTGTAATTAACAAAAGGTACTCTAATGTATACAAATTAATTTTTAATTATGTGGTTTCTAATATGTTATTTGATCCTGACAATTTCATAATTACACTTCTTTAAATGAACATAATATTTAATATTTGAAGAATTATATATATATATATATATATATTTCATTCAGATTAAATATTTTAGGCTTTATATTTATTCCTAAAAGACTTTTAATGAAATATCATGACATGATTTCAGTCACCTTCTTTTGAGTTTGTTTGAATAATGATAGATTTGATCATTTTTCTAATATTTGTTACTCCATAATACCCTATCTAACTATTGCAATTGTAAGAGTGAGAGATTTGAACTATTTATTATAAATGTTCTGGTTTATTATTTAATAAATCAAACATTTTTTATATTATACCTGGTTTATATATATAATAGAATGGTAAAGTACTATACATATTTATATCGGTATACTCTTAAGAATAAATATTAAAAGCATAGGTTAGTAAAATAAGCAATTTGTTTTGTTTTTTTAGAATTATATGATTTTTAAACCAAACTGGTGAATATATACTAGACCCACATTTATTTGAGTCTGCACTTCAATTCTATAATAGCTTGATATATTAGATTTGAACACTAACCTGGGAATAGAGTTTGCCCATGATTTTCTTCAAAAATTTGATTCTTAGATATGTATCTGGAATGAAACTAAGTTTTACACATGTCCATCTTTTTAAATTGACACTTTTTTAATTTACCAAATTTAACAAGAAGTTAAAATAAAAACAAAACTCATATCAATGAAACAGAGACGAGAACGAAAGCACAATTTTATAATGGTAAAAAAATAAATCACTTATGTAGAGTTATTAGTAAACAAACTGAGAGCTGAAAACCTAATCTTCTTTTGTCTTTTTTATCGCAAAACTTAATTTCTTTTTGTGCATATGAAGCCTTAAAAATAATTAAAATGAGTTATACATTAGGTATGGGCTTTTGTCCTAAGCCGAACTACATACCTAAATCTGAACTGGAAAAACCAAATCTAGATACGATCCGTTATACAAAGATATCCGAACTGGATTTATGAACTTAGTACTTTGGGTTTGGTTATAATCTAAACCGAACCAAAATTCAAACTATGATATGTATAATATGTTAATGTTTTATATATGTTAAGGTAATTTATATATTTTATAGTATTCGACAGATTTTGTAGTCTGTTTTATTTGTTCCTTTTAATATCTTTTAGTTAGTTAAGATAGTTAAATGAATTTTAAATTAGATTTATAAATAGTTTGAATATTTTGATTTTTTTGTCAACTTTTTAGGTTTAAAATATATATTTTGGGATGATTTATGATATTGGTTACAAACCAATGCAAACTGAATTGAGAAGAAACCAAGACATGTAACTTGGTGGGCTTAAAACCTAGACATGTCAACTATGGCCAAAGTCTGCAGTCTAGTTCGTCAAGCCTATAAATTAACAGGTTTGTGCTTATTTATATAAGCTCAAAAAATCAAACCTTTTGGACGTTAACTGTTTTGGACTTAAGAATATTTGGGATAGGCCGACCTGAAGACTTAAAATTTATATTTGAATTTATTTAATTATTTATAATTGGTCATCATTTCTTAAACAAATATAGAAGTGGTGCTCGTGTTTTAAAAGAAATATAGAATTATACGAACTACACAGTAACATCAAAGTCTAGTTTAAGCAGTGTACATGTCTTCAGCAATAAAAACCAACAGTAAACTGATATCTAGAGTAACATATAGATAAACACTAGGGAAATCAAACAGGTGATTCAGAACTGTAACCAATATATATTAAGGGTATTGAAAACAAAGATGAAAGTAATAACAACTCTCTTCTTATTAACCTGAGAAAATATCTCAAAACTCAAGTTCTCAAACAACACAAATTCCCCTTAGTTTATGCCATGAGCTCGACATCTACTTATATAGGGTGTTACAGATAATTCCTAATCTTATAAGACAACACAATTAGATAACTCCTAAATAACTTGTGTTTCCTATTTATCCATATCTCGNTATCTCGGTAGATTAGGCTTTATCTTGTGACTCAAGTTTCCTTTTTATTCTTCAAGCTTAAACCAACAATCTCCCCCTTAAGCTTGAACTCCATTTTTGACAAATCTTGAACTCCAATAAGATCTCTCATCTCTTGAAACTTGATTCTTCCCAATGACTTTGTTAAGATATCTGCCTTTTGCTCATTCCCAGGTACATGTTCAACCTCAATCAAACCCTTTTCCACACATTCTCTAATAAAATGATAGCGTGTGTGTATGTGTTTTGATCGTCCGTGGAACACTGGATTGCGAGTGAGTGCAATAGCTGACTGGTTGTCTATTCTAATGACTGTCTTCTCGTACAAGGTTTCACTGATCTCTCCAAGTAAATCCTGCAACCAAATCGCCTGTCTAGCAGCTTCCGTTCCAGCCATGAATTCCGCTTCACATGATGATAGTGCCACTGTATCTTGCTTTTGCGAGCACCATGTTATTGGACTTTCACCTAAGTAGAATACATGACCTGTTGTACTCTTACCATCATCCGGATCGACGTTATGACTACTGTCACTGAAGCCAATCAGCTTTGGTCTTGAGTTAGTACGCTTGAATGTTAAACCAAAGCTTGTAGTTCCTTGTAGGTATCTGAGACAGTGTTTCATAGCAGCTGCGTGTGACTCTCTTGGTTGTTGCATATAACGGCTTAAGACTCCCACACAGTATGACAGATCAGGTCTTGTGTGAAGCAAATACCGTAGACACCCGACATTCCTTCTGTACTTCGTACCATCAGCTTCTGCCTCAGTCTCAGACTTCGAAAGTTTGATGTTTTGCTCCATTGGCGTGTGAGCTAAATTGCAGTCCTTCATTCCTGCTTCTGATAATATCTTCAACGCATAACTTCTTTGACTCAAAGTGATTCCTTCTTGGTGTTGAATCACTTCTATTCCCAAGTAATACGTTAACCTTCCCAAATCGCTCATATCAAACTTTGCACTCATCTCCTTTTTGAACTTATCAATAAGATCAATGCTTGTTCCTGAGACAAACAAATCATCAACATAGA